TATCTGTGTTTTTTAATATTTGCTTTTAAATTAAGCAATTGAGTAATATATAGTACTAAAACTTGAATTATAATCTACAGTTTGATACCAAAATTACTGACATAAATTCATGGAATAGTAGTTCAATAAACTTTTGAATGCGAGTCAACAAACACGATGATTTGGTCTTTCACCAGTGACTCGTCTTGAAAGAGTTAAATAACAATCTCCTTGGGTTAAACATATAAACAATGTTTATTGTCAACTTTAGCATAAGGTTTTACTATTTAATGATGATATACAAATTTTAAACATCTCTCTCATACACTTCTTTTTAATGAAAATCTTGCAACAGACATACAAAATGGTTAATGTACTTGGTTTACAAATTTCATAAATTTTAAGATGTAATATAATAACTAGTTTCCACCACTTACTCTGTAATAAGCCAACTGAAGAGCCATCTGAATATAAGCATCTGGGCTGACCTTACACTTCTTTATTATACCTTTTCCATACGCATCATGCATATAGAGATGAAGATCAACATCCTCAAGAAGAGTACGAGCAGAGATTGCACAGCTTTCAATTATATCAATACACTGCAGGGTAAAAGAATAATTTGTTTTCTATAAACTGAAATACTTTTTAGTAAATTGGATATTAAACAAATTATGATGTATGGTATTTATTGAATTACAGTTAATCAGTACAAGAACCTACAAGAAAACAATGCCTTTAGGACTTTTCAGGCTCTGTGCAAACCATGCAACAAGAAAACTTTGATTACCATAAGGCTCAGTTAATAAATTTTCCTCATTTTTGTTTGCGATACGTCAACAAATTTCTTGTATTTTACATTTTAAGGTGTTTTTGAAGTAGTTAATTCATGGATTTAACAGCACTACACTTACAAAATAAAAAGTATTACTTTGTATTATAAACCAACTTAATTTTATTGTAACAAGCCATAATTCCAAAACATTAACATGACCTAAAACAGACATCACCATTCTAACTTGGTTTCAAATAATAAAAAATACAAAATAAAGATGCCAAAGTGGTAAAATCGTCTGATTAAAGTCAACTAAAATAAATACAATTTAACACCTGTCATCATATTTATTCATACTTTTAAACATTTAAATAAAACAACATTTGATAATGTTTTAAGTTAATTTTCTTAAATGTGGTTCTGTGGCATGGAAGTATTCCAATATATGAGACAGGCAGTGGAAACGTTCTTTTAACTAAGTATCTAAGATTGTAACTTAGATCTAAGTAACTAAGTATCTAAGATTGTAACTTAGATCTAAGTAACTAAGTATCTAAGATTGTAACTTAGATCTAAATAACTAAGTATCATTGATCTAAGTAACTAAGTATCTAAGATTGTTTTCCAATTTCTTCAATCATGACAAATCAGTCTTTTAATTTTTAATCTTTTTCATAAGTTTGTTTGAAATTTTTGACAGTAAGAATTCAATTTTTTACCAGGTAAAAAGTCCCATCTACAATTCTGAAATTACTTTTACAGCTTCATATAAAGCATAATTTTATGAAATAAAGTAAGAATTAATACTTTACTGAAAATACTTGATAGTGTTAAATGTCTATTAACTAATTCTGGGGAAGCTGACTACATGGAGAAGAGTTGTTTTTATACTACTCTTCCTAGACCATAATTTCAAGTTACATTACCTACAAAATAAGCAGTTTTCACAAGATTCTTAATAAAGGCAAGTTTTCAGAGAAAGGTTACAAAAATCAACTGATATACAAATCATTAAAAGTCTCATAGAGAAACTTATGTGAAGGCTTCATTCTATTTTTTTTAAATAATGAAACAAAAACAAAAAAAACAATCTTATTATTATTAATTCTAATTTTCTTTAATAAATTTAATACAACAATGGAGACAATAACTATGACCACATCTGCAAATAAATGCCTTGTGAAATGCTCAATAACAGAACTTATGCAAGATAAATCCTTCTATCTAAAAAAATACATAAAATTTATGAAGGGAAAAGTAAATACTTTGTTTGTTTAAACATTACTCTATCAAATTCAAAGCAAGTTTCAGAAGTATAATGGGTAGACGAGATCTAGAACTATTATCTATTGTTACTAAAATTATTATCATGCATTAAGTTACCCAAAGCAAATCTTATTGCTTCAAAAAGGGGTACCTCTATAAAAATGGAAAAGCTTTCAAAACTGATCATAATATGCCTTTGGTAAAAGTTTGGTAAAAAAACAAAATAAAAAAAAAATCTTTAAGGAAATAATTGGTTTTAATTCATAAAGATCAAATGTATATTCTAAAAACAGTCTGAAATAAATAATATGGAAAACCTCATTTAGCCACTTTTACAATTTTGACACAAAGTACCTCTGATTTCTTTATTAGTTATAGATTATCCTAATATTTTATTTCTTAATTAAAACAACAGAAGGAAAAGCTGAATCTATCTTTTGATCAGTAAAGAGCATATATTTATATTTCTCAGTTTACTTGCAAATTTAAAAATATTTCTTCATTAAATACTTACTGTAATCATGAAGAAACAAGTTAACATGATTCCATCAGTTATGTAAGTTCATTAAACAATGTGAATGTGCAAATAAAAACATTCCTCCCATGTTTTACTTACATCCTGACTAATATCCCACTTGAGACGAACAGGAGTCGGTAATTCAACTGTCAGCTCACCCAATGCATTTCCTTCTTTAGTGTAGCTATTAGAAACAATTTATATAGAACAATTATTCTTCAATAAGTAAATAATGTAAGAAGTTTAGTACTACACAAAAATTCTTATATTAATATATATATACTAGGAGATAAATTCATGCATCACATATGATGTATGTGCTAAAATTATTTTACAATTGAAACATTGTAGAGCAAAAAAAAAAGGATACAGACAAGACTAAATCCTCACCTCCCACATATAAAGTGTGTACTGTGCCATATGAGCCAAACCCCAAAGATATTTTTCATGTATGCAACATTATTAAGTGGAATACTATATGTAAGAAGAATATATTTCATAAATTAATAAGTCCTTTAAGTAATGCTGTTGTTGTGTTATGTAGTTGGACATGAATGAAACAAAAACCTACTAAGCAGAATACGAAATTATGGAGTTACTGTTTTAAAGTAAATAAGTATAAAAACATGAAATGACTGTAAATGAAATATATCTCTGTGCACAATTTTTTGAATAAACCACTTGTCTTTCTGGATAATTGCCATCTTTGAATAAAATCTTGAGAATTTTTCTTGATTGAACTCTTGATAAAGTGACATCATAAAATAGCAAATTTTTAAAATTATGGTATCAAGAAGTATAAAACTCAACTGTTTTCATTTCTCAATATTTCAGTTATTTTTCCTTCCATAATGCTATCAAATTTTTTTTTACTCTCCCCTAAAGTATTAAAAAGCATCGGGTATAATAATATTTTATTCCCCTAGCGGATACACTCATTCTTCAGGCACGAAACATATTTAAACTTTAGGCCTAATTGTAGCTTCTTAAGTGCCTGTATTAATTTTTTAAACTATGATATCAAGAAGTGTAAAAATTAATTGTCATGTGTTTTTTGTAAATTTCTTGAGTATATATATGTGTGTCTAAATCACATTTGTATATTCTGAAACCTTTAATTATTTTGTTTTGCACAATGTGTTAATCGTAGAGCAACAAAAATGAATGAAGTTATGGCAATGACTATTAAGGCTAACTGTTGCAGATTATAGAATAGGTAAGTTCATGTTTCATTTATGAAGCATATTTAAATTTTAAGCCTAATTGTCAATTTTTAAGCAACTGTTGGAATTTGTATTGAAAGGTAATGGTATTGCATTATTTACAAGCCCTGTAAGGGTAAATAATTAACTTAATGTGTTTCTCTGTGCATTTGTTCATATTACTGAAGCAACTGTCTTTAAAGTTAATGTCATAAATGCTGTAGTTTTGCACTCATCTTGCACAATGCACATTAAATGTCATTCACTTTTGCACTTGTATAAATGTAAGACTACTACTGTACAGTTAACCAATGCAAATATTGGGTTTCCAGGTGAGTGAACATGTATACATGCACAGACTGACCGACAGATGTTGTTTTTTTATTATATATATATCAGTGGTTTCTAAACTGTGTTCTATGGAACCTCAGTGTTCCTCAAAAGGGCATTAGGGATTCCCCCACAAATACAACAAATAATGGTAGTTTTCTAATTATTGGGTGTCAATCCATCGGGGACCAAATATATTTTTAAACATTATGAGTCAGTTGATATTCTGTCTTCTCTACACAGTTATGTACACAAGCAAACTAAGTAAGAAATGTATGTAACTGCATTTTAAGGGTGGTTAAGTGTTAAGGTTTCGTGATGGATGGAATGAAACAAGAGGGCTCCATGGCTTTGTAAAGTTTGAAAACCACCGATATATGTTGAAAGGGTAAATAGATTAAATACTATCAGTTGACCAATCAACTGACAGCTCATTATCTGACCTTTATTAAATGTTCTCAAACAATTCATAGAATTTGCTAAGTCAGAAAAATACCTTGAAAGGCAGCTGCTTGTAGATTAAACTTAAATAGGTTGAATTTTATGCCAATAAGCAAATTCATAGCTTAAGTTAGTCTCATGATTATAAATATCAATATTTTAAACAAAGTAATGGTGGAAGTGCAACCCTCAAGTGTCCATAAGACCCATAAAAGCCTTGACCACCTGACAAAAGACATACAGGGCTGCAGCAAGCCCGAAATGAAGAGCAATAAATTGATAAAACACCCCATGATGAATAAACCAAAGGTAGTGTCTCGATTGTCTCAATATGACTGTATGGTAAAACGAGGTGGTACCAAGAAGTGATTGAGGCTGCCAGTCTCCAGTTTTCTTGGAGACCAAAAACAGCCTGGAATAAAACCCTGGAGAAGAGAGAAGATCTTGTACTGCCTCGTATAGACACCGACATGTGGAAGGATCCCAAGGTAAGGGAGAGGAAATGGATGACAAGTCCCTCTGATAAAACTTGAAGGACCCATAGTTCCCTGGCAAAACTGTGCTATAGATGATCAAACTGGGATAAAAAAGCCTCCACCAGTCCGGAACCCACAGGGTAGTCACCGATACAACACTAAACATCAAATAAAATGACAAGAATAAGATCCCCTTGTGGAAGGAACGGGTAAGAGTTGGGAAGGGGTAGGACAGGGAACAGATATAGGAGATTGTCCAGGCTCTGTGTGAGATAAATGATCAACCAACAAGGAAAGAGTCGATTGCTGTCGACCAATGGAGAAAAGGGGAGAGGCATAAGTTCCAAAGATAAGGAGATGGTAAACAAACGTGGGACAAAATCATGTCTCTCCCCAAAAGATCCCAACAACAGAGGAACCAAATATGTAAAGAAAGAACCGAGGTCAACAAATGTGCCAACAAGGAGGTAATTAGAGCAAATGTATCCCCTGAAAAACCCTCAGGATCATAGTGGATCACCTCAGAGAGAAGGTAGATGATGGACAAGTACCATATGACAGTCATGAGGGTAAAATGAAGGTGAAAAAATTAGGTATGGTACAAAAGAACAGGAGAATCAGGATCCGCCCCCCAAATGGGTAAAATGGATTCCAAGTGTTGCGAATCCAGGAACAGAAAATCAGCCTGATGGAAGGCCAAATTGAACTAGTCCACAGCCCACAGAGGGTGAGGCATGCTCCCACCATCACATAACTAAGATACAAAACACTCCAATATCAAGAGAGGGTGAAAATACAAAATACTGAGAGAAAGGAATATCCTGTAACAAGGAAGAGAGAGGATTATAGGATATTGAGGAAAGGGATAATGTAAAAAAAAAAGCTGTATTAGGCCAAACAGAATCCACAGGAGTAACCGGGGAAGACACAACAAATTCATATGAAGGAAAAAGGCTGTCAAAACCGCCGTTGTCCCGAATACATTCAGTAGGAAGTTGGGCAACACCAGGAGAAGAAGGTTGGTTCAACTAATGATCAATCTCTTGAGGAATAATTGCTGATAATTTCAAAGTCGAGTTACCCCCACCTGAAGCTTGAATAAATGTGCTGGTAGAAGGTACAATCTCTTATGTGGCAACATTTATTTTGGAATTCATAATGTAATCCAAACACGACTGTGTTGGCAAAGAAAGACAAACACAGAAAATTAATAAATTTCGATAACTGGGTTTCAAAAGTGAAATAAGGCCACTACAAAATATTAAAATGGAAATTATAGGTTGTAAAATAGAAATTAATGGTACAAAAATTCAAATTCGATTTGAGAGAGCACTAAAGAAAACTTCTTAATACAAGCACTGCCAAACGAGAAGTGGCAGTTAGGTAGAATAGCATAGAGGGAGTCATGTGTGTGAGGCACATCTATTGGTGGAGGTTTGTCACATGATAAGTTGCATGCATGAATCAGTTAAACCACGTGAACCAAGAGGGTACGTAAGAATAATATGCTTGTGGGATGCGAAAAAAATTTTGCAAACAGAGGGCAGCACTAAACGAGAATAGCTATGTGTATAAGCAGAAGTAGGATACCTTGTTGGAATTTCTGATAATTATAGCTGGGAAATTAGTGGAATTTACTAATTTCCTCATAAATTAATCACATTTGACTAATTTATTATTCTTACATGAGATGGCTTAAAATATAACTTCTAACCCTAAAAAAATGTGTTTCGATGTCTGCAGTGGGCAGAAAACATCCAGACTATCAAGTAAGCAACAAATAAACAAAAATATTGTAATAGTTCGTTTACTTGAATAGTTGGAATAACTGAAAACAGTAATAATCAGAAACTCTAATTTCAATTAGATGATTATTTTCTTGACTCATGACACTAACCAATTAACCCTATCGCCACAGGTATCCTGTACTGCGCATGCCACAAGATTTTAGTGTCTTACATTCAAAATTTTATTAAACTACTTTTTGTTATACCAATTAGTATAGCATAAAATCTTAGCTAATAATCCATATTTTAATAGTATATATGTTTTAAGTTCTACAAGGAAATATATAAAAAATCCTGAATTTCCACTAGTGTGACACACGTGACACATTTTCTCTAGGTATCTTCTCTTCTCTATTTTATTCACCACCCCTCCAAAATGTACGAAATTAAACATAAATTACTCACTATAATTTTTATATCCTTCAATTTTGTTTAGTTACAGAGCTATCAAACAAAAAATCAGCCCTCTCCTACCACACCCACCTGTCACATCCTCTCTTTCAGGATTTGTTAATAGTTCTCTCTTATGTTTAATTATATATTACCTATAACCAATAAAAAACCAAGGTTTTCATCTATCAAATGACGTATTTTATTACATTGTGTTCTTAACACAGAATAGACAATTTCACTTGTAATACAACTTTGGTTCCCACAGGAATCACAATGGCTAGCTGGAATGCATTTGTAACGACTCTTGTCGCATAGCTAGAAAGCCAGAAAAATTGTGATTGTTAGAGGAAATTGTCTGCTTTGTGCATGTTATTAGTCTATGTTCTTTGGTGCATTATTTAATCAAATAAAGATTATTTAATGCACAACTACTATTAGTATAAAAAAGTCATTGACAGTTGAGAACAAAAAAGGAATAATCAGGTAAGTACTTTATTTCTTGTTTTTTTGTTTATTCTTTATTATTATAAAAGTAACTAAAATGTAAAAATAGATATCTCTTTAGGTTAATGAAGGTTAGATTAGGTAAAATAAACTATAATAATAATAATATAAAAAAAAGTTCACAAGGAATGCACATGAGCAGCTCAGAGTGGCTCGTGGGTAATGTAATTTGATAGCTTAACATGAGCTGCACATTCCTCATGTGATTTACAACTTATAATGATGCAAATAGTAGTTAGACATGGTTCAAAGGGCAATCAAAAAGGCAATAAAACAATAAAATTTAATTATAAATAGATGTATACAGTTATGAGTTTAAAGCTACTTAGGATAAACAAATGTAGTTCTGTGCTATATTTGAAGTCACCCTAGAAAGAAAAGGAGGGTAACTTAGATTTATTTTTTTATTTTTTGGTAGTTACAAGGTCAGTCAAATTGATCAACCTTGTATAGAGTTAGGGTAGAGAAAATAACAGATAAAATATAGTTTTACTGAAAACAAGCATTTGAAATGTATTTAGAAGGTTTTAGAGATTACACAAATGAAATTTGGGATTTTTGAGATGAAGAAAAATATTTCTAATTTTAACATGAAAATCACTTTGCACACAGACTATTCAAAACAAATACTCAATATATTCAAGGACAAATCTTTTTTTTAGTTTATTAAAAATACTTCTCTAAAAAATATGATTTTTTGTATATGAAAGGCTTATAATGTTTACTGAAAGACTGCCAAATTTTGTGAAGATATACAGACTATATCAAAAGTTAGTAGTATCAAACCTATAAAGGCTTTATCCAAGTACAAAAAGGTCAAACTGACCGAGCCCGTGTAGAGAGAGTTAAGCTGAATAAAGGTGAATTAATTTAAAATAATAATCAAACATCTAATGGCAATATTTTTATTGCTGGATAGCTGGAATAATCGAAAATACTAATAATTGGAAACCCAAGTTTCAATTTATTGATTATAGTGATTTGTTCAGTCAATCTCCAATCTCTACTGATGAAGAGTATTTTTATACAGTTGGCTAATTTTATAGCAAGAAATACTAAATTTTGGATGTAATTGCTGCTTTGGAACATAAAAGAAACTTTCTATATCAACATGATGAATAGATCTATTCATTCCCTGTATTTAGACCAGTATGGTTGACATCCCTCTATCTCTCCTTTGAAACACAAAGAAAATGGCCCACTTGAGAAAAGTGCACTTTAAAACAAGAAACAGAATAAAAACTTCCATGACTGTGAAGTTGGTTATAATCCATCACAAGCTATGATAATTCCTTGGCATGATTTGTTACTATATTAATATCTGCCTATAACAACATACAGAGTGATACAAAAGTTGTATACTACCTAATCCATCAACAGGTATTAATTTTGTTTTCATGCAATATCAGTTTCTAAGCTTATGGAATTCACATAACCAGGTTCGTTATGGCTATACACCAAATTTCCTACAATGGCAATTTTTAAACAGTCGACTAACTTGGTTGGAGACACTACATTAACTGCATATATTACTGTCAGTATAACTTCTTAACATATATAAGAAAATAGAGAGCATTATTTCATTTTTATATACATTATGACTTACATTTTGATGTTAAATTTGGCTTAAATAAGTCAACTACAACAATTTACTTTGTTATTTTCCACCAAATTATGAAGTTTTCCTACAGAACTTTATTAACATTCCTAACAAAAAGTAAGTATAAAAACATTGTTTTAACAGCATGTCAAACTCCTTAAGCATTCTATACTTTAATTTTTTACCCAAGGTTGATAAAGTCTTCAGAAAGGCAAAACTCCCAGAGATGAGCCATAATTGGTGCATCAGCCCTGCCAAAAAAAAACAAAAACATTTAAGATATTACTATTTTCGGCCATGACAATATTTTCCCCTTGTAAATGTTTTAATCATGCAAAAAGAGACAAATTAAGTTTTCAAATAGCACAATTATGTAATAGTTCCAGCTACCATTCATTAATCATAACCAGTACAATTGTCCCTGATAGTGATAACAGTACTTCCTGGAACAACTTTGGGTGTTACACACAACATTTACAAATTGTCTGCAGAAACAATTTCAAAGATGTTTTATTTTGTTTAAAAGCAGCTAGAAATTCCTCATATCTATGTTGCTGTACACATTACAGCTTAATTTAGTATTAAATTAATCAAATGTAACCCATTTTTACAAAAAAATTTTATTTTGCAAATAAAATTAAATAATATGACAAACACTTACCAGGAATGTTCTGCATTAAACCCAATCTAAAAATGAGACAATATATCATGTCAGACTAAGTTACATTTTTTTTTATGTACTACAAATTCTTAAACTAACATTTTATATCCTATCATTATACTTTTAAGATCCAATATAATTACAATTCTACCACTTCATTAGCTTTCACAAATGTGAAACAACTCTGAGCATCTTACTAACAAACATACAATGTCAACATACAAGTATATTATAAGACAATAATAAACTGGCAGTAATATTACTTTGTTGAAATGTATATTGTAATAAAAACATAGCTTTTTAAAGTAAAAACCATGGACAAGTTAACAGTGTCTTACTGAAACTTGCCACACAAAAATTAATACAATGTATTTATATTAAATGTTAAAACAGACATGTAATATTATAGAACATAATGTATTAGGTAAATTATTCAATAAAATATTGAATAATTCACTGTTTTATATGTTACATTATTATTTTTTAAACACAAAAATCTATAATAATATACACTATTTTAGAGATTTAAAGCACTGAACTATTTTTTATCAAGTATAAATTACAACCAACTAAACAGTTAAGTGCTTTGAAGTCTCACTCACCCTTCCATTTCTGGTCACAACCAGATTAAACGATTTATCATACCATCTGTCATATCCTTTCCCATGTAGTAATAATTGACTAAATCGATCCAGCTCTGAAGAATCTTTCTGAGGCCAAGAGAATAAATCACATCAACATGACACTTTTATAGGTAAAAAGGGTTTTACCTGAGATTTATTTTTTAATCTAAGTTTTTTTCTAAGAAACATCAGAACACTTATAGTAGGATAATGCAACAAAGGTACTGAGACTTATATAATCCACAATACTCATTAAAGTTATACAAAGTCAAATTAAAATGTATCTATTATCATCAATTACTTTTATTTTTGAAAGTTAAAAATACAACAAGTAAAATAAGTTTCAATTTTTTTATACTTTAAACTTTATTTTATACAAAAAAATAATTTTAAACTTAGGAATATAACCAACAAGTTACGAATTTCCATAAAATATTTACTAGAAAAAAGATAACTTTGTGAAATCATTTTATCATCAACAAATTTAAAAAAAGATAGTTTACAACCTTAAATCAAGTTTATAGGAATAAAACAACTAAAATATTTATGAATGTGAAATAAGGTCTCATTCAAGGATTTGTTTTTAATGTCTTGAAACTTACAGGGTCAAATTCAAAGCTTTCATCTTCTAAAACTACACAGAAGGCTGCCTGAAAAACAACAACATATGTGACAGAAATTAAAATTCTGCATATTAAAGTGAAAACAAATGTACCCTTTTTCTTCAATGTTAAATATTTACATAAAAATCGTTAAAAATAAAATACTAACCTAAATTTTGCTTAGACAATTCAGTACCAACAAGTGATATAAACATGACAGAATTTTACAATTTTAACATTTATATTTCATCTACACAAACATTAATACATATTGCATTTTAGATCCATAAGATAAAAGCAAATCCATCTTCAATTATATTTTCCAATACTTCACTCTAACCCTCTATCTACGGGTAGGTCAAAGTGTGCATGTCACAACTTTTTTAGAGTTACATTCAAGATGTAATTAAGCTGCTTTATTATCATTGCATAGGAATAAACTTGGCATCAAAACATTGTTAATAAATCAAATGTTAATATAATATAAGGTTTTAATTTTATAAGGAAATATTTTAAAAAATTCTCAATCTCTCCTATTATGAGAATTGTGACATTTGTTTTCTAGATCTCCCCTCTTCTCTATTTTATTTACCACCTCTCTGAGAAGTATGGAATTTAACATAAATTACTCATTATTACTCAGGCAAAGTATAATTTTTATAGCCTTCAATCTTATTACTTTATAGAGCCATAAACTACAAAATCACAAACATTTGCCATGCCCATCTGTCACATCCTGTTTCACAAATTGCCAGTAGTTCTCCCTCAAGTTTTATACTATATTAGAAAGACAAGGTTTAATCTATCAAATGACATATTATATTACATTGTTTCTCTACAGAGTATTGTCTATTTCAACTCTAGTTTGAAACTTTCTCTCACAGTATTCACATCGACAAGCTTAGCTAAATTTTTAAAGGCTCTTATTACATAGTTAGAAAGCCAAATAAATTATGATAATTATAGAATATTGTTTGCTTTGTGCATTATATTACTCTGTATTTTGAGGTGCATTATTTAATCAAATAAGTTATTATAAAAAGTAGGCTTAACTTTCATCAATAGTCAACAACAACAAAAAAAAGAGGACACGGTTAAGTACCATATTTCTTGTTTTTCATGTATATTCCTTATTTATTATTATAAAATTAATTAAGATGTACAAACAGATGGAACGAGAACCATAAAAGAAGTCAGTATGAGCCATATAACATAGCAGGTAACGAACTAGACAAAGTAGACAATCTGGATACAAACAAGAGAACAGGTGAAAAAAGGTAGGTAAGGAAATAGGAGAAAAGGCTCCACAACCTTCCTGGGCGGCCAATGTCCTGGGAAGAAAGGCTTGATCCACATAGTGGAGAACATACAAGGAATGGTAAAGGATGTGGGAAACATTAATATCATAAATATCGGAACAAGGACAACTGCATGCCAGGAAGGGGAGGAAATAAGTCTTCAGGGAAAAAAGGTACAAGGAACACATTGCAATAAATTCAAAGGGAGAACTAGACAGGGCATGAAGGAGAAAAATTGAGATCCCAATCCAGCATAACAAAGGAACATGAAAGATGGACCAGATGAAAGGAACAGAAAAGGAGGGCAATAACTGGGGAAGAGAAGGCATTCCAGAAGTGGGAGAAAAGAAGGTGTTTGACAGGGTGGCCCTATAAAGAGCAACAGTTGAAACAGACAAATGCTGAACAAACAACTAGATGAAGAACTGGGACAGGTGAAGAACAGAAGGATGGATGTTCAGAAGCCATGGCCAATAGACCAAAGTCTGAAGTAAGACCAATGCCTCTGGTACATAGACAAGGAAAGACACTACACAAGGGGTGAGTCCCAGAACTAAGGCACGGGACCGGACAAAAGTCACACATGAAGCTGGAGTGTGGTGATGTGGGATAAAAAAGTCTGATCTCAGCTGTCAGAGGAGAGATCAGAACGGAGATAAGGGCAGGGACTGTAGCTCCTGTAAAGACCAGAGCAGAGGGAACCAAATCTGAGCCAGCCAATACAGAGCAACCAGCAGAAAACAAGAAGTGATCTGGATAAGGGAAAAGACACAGAAGAGGAATCTGACTAGAGGGTAGACATATAGTCGAAGTCCCTTCAATCTGGACTAAAAGCATCCACCTCCAGAGCTGTTGGATGAGGAACTGGAGACCAAAAAAGGAAGGAAATTTGGCATTCCATTGAGTGGGAATTGCATAAATATGTGGAGTTCCCAGTTGAGAATACATCCATCGGAAAACCTGAGGATGAAGGGACCACACCATAGGTTCAGACGCGATAAGCAATCAGCCACAAGATTCATAACTCTGGCCTAGTACAGGAGATCTAGAGTCTGAAAACTTACATATCTGGAGTTGATTTCCCCCATGCTTGGTAATATAGCTGACGACAGTGGAATCATCAGAATGAACCATAACCACCCAACCCCACAAGAATGGGAGGAAATGATACAGAGCCCAATGAACTGCCAAAGGTTCAAGGATGTGGAAATGGAGAGTAACCTCCACGACTGACTACCGACTTGAAATCTCTGGGGAATCGAGGAAAGCCCCATCCTCCCCCAAACCCACCAAGGAAGCATCTGTAAACAGATGAGACTCCGGACAAGGTAGAGGAATGGGAACCCCCACTGAGGTCAATTCTCTGTCAAGCCACCAAGCAAGATCAGCCCTGATCCCAGGTGGAAGGGAAATGGGATGGTCCAAGGGATCTTGGGGGGCATTCCACTGATCAAGAAGCACCCAAGGATGGGAATGCATATGTGCTCAAGCTAAGGGAATGAGAGCTTCCAAGGAAGCCACAACCCTAAAAGAGATATAACCTCTCGTGCAGAGAGAGCAAGAAGGAGAAGGTAGAGCCTTCGTAACTGCCCACTTCATATCCCAGAGCTGAAGTGGAGAAGGCTGGGCTCAACTGAGACGAGAAGTGAAGAGAACCCCAAAATGAATAAGACACAGTGAGGGGATAGTAAAAGACCTCTCCAACTTGATGAGAAATCCCACCCAAGCATCATCTCAAAGAAGTAAGCAGATGTGAGTGACTGCCTAGGCACGGGAAGAGGCGAACAGAAGCCAGTCATCCATGTAATAGAGAGTCTGAAGACCCAGGCAAGTGAAGTGTAGCCAAAAAGACAAATAACTAAACATACTCAGAGAAAGTATTCATTACTAATGAACTAACAAAACATATAAAGTCTACAAAGAACATAAAAATAAATCTGCAAAACTATGAAAGTTGACCTACAACAGTAAGTAACACCTAAAGTACAAAACCACTGAAGGAAAGATAAATGACCTTTAAATATTGAACATATAAGTCCACTCAAAGAATCTACAAGACAAAGGACACAAAAATAAAACCTACCCTAAAGAACATGAGAATAAAAAGGTACCCAGTTAGCAATAACAAAGTTTAACTCAAATCTAATCCGCAATAATGACATAGTATGACATGACATAGTAAAGAAAAAGGAACTTCCAAACAAAATAACATTAACATTGAAAAGAAGTAAAAATGCAAACAAAGGAATAACAAAACTCCAAACCCAGTTAACAATAACAAAGTTTAATTCAAATCTAATCTCCAATTAGATATGACATAGTAAGAAAAAAGAACTTACAAACAAAATAACATTAACAGTGAAAAGAAGTACAAATGTAAACAAAAACAAAGGAATAATAAAACTCCAAATGCAAGTTTAAACTAAATTAACCTAGATGGTAAAAAGAAGTATAAAAATCTAATGTACCCAACAGTTAGCAGAGAATACACAAATGACCTAAATTATCGAGTGTGGCAATTAGGTTCATCCACACAAGCTGACAGAAAGTCACTGAACATGGGTATACTTAGAGGGAGTGAGAAATACACACTGAAAAATTTACTACAGATCTCATGGGAAAAGAACAATACCTAACCCAGCAGATTATGTGGAAATGCAGTAACAGTGCTGTAGAAGAACAATTTCCACACCGTAGCTATATCCCTTTTCCCAAAAGTTGTAACATGAAAGGAAAAAATCGTTGGCTGATTGAAAGACACGAACTCCCAGGGAATTGAAGCTTGCACTTCCCCAGCAGACATCCTCGACCCTGAGACTCGTGAACTAGAGTTCTACTTATGGCAGGAATTTTATCATCTGCCATATTAAATCTTGAATTCATAAGAACAAAGTAGAATTGAGAAACAGAAACATTTCTAAAACAAACGAATAAATACAATGGAAATCAAACACAAAAAGTTAAAACTGATATAACTTTGAGATCAAACACAATCAAAATCTTGTAGTCACATGAGTTAAAACACATCTGTACAGTGGAATACCAATCAAGAATGTGAGTATTGTGCTGCAATGATAGAGGGAGTTACCTGCACTAGTATAGGTGGTGCAGTATGATTGGTGGAAGGTAGTCACATGACCAGCATATGTTACTGCAATGGTGCAAAAATGAAAGGATATAAAAGACTGGCGTGCTTTTGAAAATTTTAGCAATGCTTGGAGGGCAAATCAAAGTCGAGATAGCTTTGGGTGAAATGAGGTGGTACCGTTTCAGAATTTGACAATTTTCAGGTGAAGAAAAGTATTTTTCATTTTAACATGAAAATCACTTTGCACTTGTAACAGTCAACACTCTGACTCCATATATTCATGAACAAATGTTTAGTACAAATATTTAATTTTAAAAACCTGATTTTTTTGTACACAAAAGATTTTACTGAAAGCTTGTGAAATTTCGTGAAGTTATAGTATGAAAACAACTGATGGTCACTTTGGGGTCATATACAAGTCTAAAAGATGTAGATGAACAGACAATAAAAGTCAAATTCGGTAAAAAATATCTAATTGCCAGTTTTCTGTCCAAATATGTATCTTTTAATGAAATGTAAAAGCATATCATTAAAAAATTAATGCAATTACATGTTGTCAACAAACAAAATAAGTACAGCATGTTTCACCTTGATGTATTCCAACAATATCATGAGTAATTTAATTGTGTGGAAGACAAAAAATTGTAATATATTTGAGTCTGTTGGAGCACAAAAGTGTAAAACAAGTAATTTACATAATGTGACATGGGAACAAGCATGACTTTTTCCTTTCTAGCTTACCATATTTTAATACCAGACTGATCAAGATTAAATTCAAGTTGGACTAAATAACACTAAAAAAAACAAGATCATGTTTTAACCCTTTCCACACGGGTCATGGGTCAAAGGCCATGTTATCACATTTGTTGACTCGCATTTAAAATTTTAATGAACTACTATTTTATGAATTTGTCATTAAGTTCGTTATTAAACTGTAGATTATAATTCAAATTTTAGTATTATACATTATTTAATTTCCTAAGTTAAAAGTAAATACTAAAAAATACACCTAAACATCAATTTTTGTGTGTCAAGTGGTATGTTGAATGCAGCACTGGTTCAAATTAGATGTTTGCAATGTCAAAATACAAAGTCTATAGTTTTGTACAAATTAGGAACTCAAATCACTGATATTGACAAGCTAGAATATAAAATAAGAACCTCCTATCTTTTCTATTTGTTGAGATATCACTCATGTACTGAATCAAATTCAGTGGCCCCACTCACCTTACTGTTCATTTTTGGAAATGGTCCCTTATATATACATACTTCTGTATATGACATGAGAAATAACCAATCAAAAGCTCAGAATGTCCCCCTAGTGGCTTTCTCAGCCATTTTCAAATAATATGGCGTTATCTCTTTCTTTAATACAAAACAGCATAGAGGTAACTCGAGTCTTTAGTCTGCTCACAATTTATATTTTTTTAAACCCAAATACAGCTTAGTTACTAAAATTGACAAATTATAATTGTGTTCTATGGTATCAATATAATAATTTATCATTTTTTGGTTATTCAAATGTATATATAAAACCTAAAAAAAATATTTTGTTTCACATCTTCCACATGCAAAATTTCTTAAGCCTTAGCAAGCTATAACAAGCAGCAACTGTGTACAAAGGTTGGAACTAGAAGAGATAAATGTTTGCTTTACTTCTTTATATACTGTTCTATGTTTTAAGAAAAATAGGTTTAAGAGATTATTTCTAAATATTAATAATCTATATACATATATAATGTATAATAATTGCAATGTGACTGTATTTTACAAAATACTAGTCCACTAAAACACAGCAGCCAAAGACAGGTCACTTTGTAGAGACTAAAGGTCAATTTTATATCATTGGATAAAGTAACATAAGTGCACATGTGCCACGT